CTTACCTGCATTACTACCTCTTCCCAGGTTTGCTCTATTCTGTGGTCAACAAACTACAAGGAGTTCATTTCAGGCCACGGCTTTGCACAGAATCAGCTGGTTGTTTGGAAGTATCCAACGATGGCCAAGGTCACCGAGCTCCGAGGTAGGCTGGGCTCTCTGCCTGGAGTGAGGCTGGGAAAGGCTGCCTGCCATAGAGTAAAGGCTGGTGGGATCTTTGGCTTGAGCAGGCTTTTGAGGTCTTGCCTGGAGTGCTGGTGATGCAGATGAATGGGTGGGGGAATGCTGCTTGAGGGAGGCACCTCTGGGGGATGCTGAAGAAAGATGTGTGCTCCAACTGTGCACCTAAGGTGTGAACCCACGTGGTCTTGGCATGGAGCGGGCACAGCTGTGCAAGCTGCAGGGGGCTGGGGTGGCTCATGGCACAGGCCTGCAAAGTGTGGGGTGAATGTGACTTCTAGAACGAGAGCGAGGGGAAATGGGGCCCATCAGACCAGCCCTAACTGCACCACTGCTCCTCAGGGCACGCAGCCAGAGTGCTGAATCTCACCATGAGCCCAGATGGCTCCACAGTGGCGTCAGCAGCTGCTGATGAAACTCTGCGGCTCTGGCGGTGTTTTGAGATGGACCCCATAAAGAAGAAGGAAAAGGAGAAGGCCAGCAGTGCCAAAAGCAGCATCATTCACCAGGGTATCCGATGAGTGCAGGGTGTCCTGCTGAGGGGAGGGGGAAAATGGGCCTATATTGTACAGTATTTTAAATGTTAATAAACATCTTCAGTTCCATATTTTAATTTTTATGGAGTTTAATGGAAGAAATGGCCCTGGGCTGTAGTACCAAGCAACTTACCCTAAAGGGCTTGGACTGGGGCAAGTGGTGGAGCTGTCTTGTTCCTTAAGGCTGGCCCAGCTTGGCCCTGGGAGAGGGAAGATGGGACCCTGGCAGCAGTAGTGCCTCAGGTGGGAGAGGTCTGTCAGGGGCCAGGAGGGCTGTGACTCAAGCAGCTTTACCACTCTGAAGAAGCAGCAGCCCTGAAAGACCCCCAAGTCTGACTCTGCTTGCACCAATATTCCTCTTATGAGGAAGTGGATGTATTAGTTTCCCACTCACTCTTACTTTAGCAAAGCTATACCAGGAAAAGCCAGGTTTCTTGGATATCTAATCTTTTCTCAAACTAGCAGTGCTGAAGCAGCCTGACCTTCTGTGGTTGGATACTGCTTGTGGTCTCCTGCCTCTGGTAAGAAAAACAGGAATGTTAATGAACAAGAGCATAAACAGGGCTTGTCTTTTCTTTTGCCCTGAGAAACAGTTATGAGGTGAAAAAGCTTTTGTTTTGAACAGCCTGCAATGCTCTTGCTTGCTGCTGGGGGCAGGAGGTAGTGGTTGCAAGTCCCAGCACCCCTAGAGCGCGGAGCTGCCTCCAAAGTAGCTCTTGTCTCAGGCACAGCCCTTTGCCCCTGCTCCACAACTCTGTCCTTAATGGGGGTTGGGGGCTGCCTCAGGGCCCTGTGTCAGGTACCACGTGTGAGGGTTCATCCTCCTCCCAGCAAGCAGGGGAGCTGGCTTGGACAGGCTGAGCCACAGCAGGAGGGGTAACGTGTCTGCTACAGCCCCTGGGCTTGCTGCAGCCAGGAGCTCTGCCCCTGCCTTTCCTTTCTAGTGCTAGGTTGAAATAGTGATGGGGGAAGAGGGGTTAAGTGGTAGAGAGGAGTTGTAAGCTGAGGCCTACAGGTATAAGGGGGGAGTCCAAACAAATACTGATGCCAGGAGCTGGGAGAGTGGGTAAACAAAGCACCAGCTGAACAGCTGGGGCTAGTGCTGAGGAGGAGGGGGGTGAGGGCTAGACTACAGTAGGAGTAAAGCTTCATGCAGTTACACTAGCTGCTACCCCCAGAGCAGAGCAACTGCACCACATGCCCTCAGCCTTGTTACCCCTTCTAAGGCAGCCCTGAGCACCTCCTTGCCCTGCCTGGGGAGGGAGGAGAAGCCCTGGTGCCAACTGAGGCTGTGCCCAGGGAAGCAGACACAGGGGCAAGGGATGCTATAGTAGGGACCCTCATGTGGCGCCTCTGCTGGGGCTTGGTTGCAGAGCTTGAGAAACAGGTTATGTCAGTCTCAGCCCTGCTGCTGCCCTAGCAGGGAGATAGAAGCGGCCCGAGGTTGGCTTTGACTACTGAGGTAAGAGGCAGCTGGGATAGTGCTGTGCTGTGCCGCGCTGCTGTGCTGTGCCCTGCTGCGTGCCACGCCGTGCACTGCAGCGGCCCCAGGGAGCCCGTGCTGCAGGCTGAGCACAGGGTAGCGCAGCGGGGGCTGGTGGGGAAGCCCGGAGCGTGGCGCAGCCCTGATTAGCAGCCTGGCCTCTGCAAAGCTGCTCTGCAAAGCTGGGACCGCCCGCTGCCCTACAATTAGCCAAGGGTGGATTATTAACTGCTTCCTCCTTCCCCGGAGCACAGTACCACACAGCACCACGCTCTGGGCTTTAAGCTGGCTGGAGCCTTCCCAGACACCTGTGTGGAGCTGTGCTGGGCCAGGCCGGCCCTGTCACCCCCTCTGCACAGCAGAGCTGCCCTGCAGGCCCCATGCTGAGGGGGGCAGAGGGGTGCACAGTGCCACAGCAGCAGCCTCAGGAGGAGGGAGAAGAGCGCAGGCTACAGCTGCTGGCCCAACTGAACTTAGCCATGCAGTAGGAGCCAGAAAGAGGCAGCTCTGTCCTCCTCCAGAAGGAAATCCTAGAGTGGGAGCTGGACCCAGGGCAGGGAAGAGGAACCTTCCCCAGAGCTCAGCTGCACTGGTCAGAGCCCCTGCTCCATCCCCCAGGCTGCCCCAATGTTGGCTGACTTAAAGCAGCTCTGTCCTCTGTCCCCCAGCTGAATGTGGCTTCCAGGATCGAGCCTGGCTCACGGGCCGTCCCTGACCCTGCGAGAAAGGCGTTGCGTGCCTGAAAGCTGGTGTAGTTTTTCCATGTAGTCCAACATAACAACAGTTTATCTTTCTCAAATAGAGCCTGTCTTGCCTCTGTCCCCCAGCAACGTTGCTTTACACAACCCTTTTAAGCCCTCTGAGCCTTACTGGAAGGTGATGCTATTACAGCACCCTGCCTTTGCTTGCATTCTGCTCCTACTGCCCTGAAGCAGGAGGATGAACCCAGGAAGGAGCCAGACTGACCAAGCAAGCCCAGGAAACGCTGCCATATAAGGTGTGAAATCAGTTTGGAGCAAGCAGCCTGAACAGAACATGACAGCATATAAATTACTTAGGCAAATGGCTGGCCCACGGGAAGATCACAGCTAACAAGGACAATTGGAGGAAGAGAGAGCAGAGCACGTGCCAGGAACAGCCCCTGTTTCAAAATACCAAGCCTAAGTAGTTCAAAGTATGGTTACTATTTTGGGCAAGAGCAGGCTCTACTGCGAGGCGGCCAGCAGGGAAGCGGGGACGCAGCAGGCAGCTCAGTGGCAGCTGCACTGTCACCTACAGCTCCTGAAGCAGCGACTCCTGGGCTCCCAGCAACTGCTCTTGCCCCTCCTTGCACAGGGGCAAGTGGCAGCCCCTGGGGGAGAAAGCACAAGGGGCCCCAGCATTAGGACCTCATCTGCTCAGGAGCAACAAGGCCTGTGAGCCAGGGCGCAGCCAGGCAGAGCGGCAGCAGGAGCTCCGGGGGCTGGGGAGGCACGGGGGAAAGGGGCATTTTCTATGGGTCAGAGCCTGGCACCCACATCAGGAAGGAGCTTCCTGGTCCCAGTAAGTGCAGCTGCTGCAGGGCCCTTTCCAGCACAGCCCTCCCACCAGCAGCCAACCCGCAGGAAAAGTGGAAGCCCACCGGGCTACTGCCTTTCTCCGAGCCACAACAGTCCCAGCTTCCGAGCCGCAACTACCCCTCTTCCCGGGTGCACACAGGCACCTAGACCTGGCCTCCGCACTTGACAGGGCCAGAGTCCAAGGCAAAGAAGGCAGCTCTGCAACCCTGGGAAGAATCGAGAGCACCTTGGCTGGTCAAAAGGGGCAGAGCGCAGCACTGTCAGCAGTGAGACTCTCTGCTTAAGCAGATGCCCTGCTCCCGGCTTCAGAAAGCAACTAACTGGCCTCCCTGCTCGTTCCCCATCACTGGGGTTTCCAAAGGCCTCCCCTCAGAGCATTCCCAGTGGATTTCTGAAAAGCAGCAGCTCTGGCCGGCTCGCCCAGGTCCCACCCCAGCCATTCCTTCACCGGGTGGATCCGCTTTCACAACTGGAGCCTTGACACATTTCCTGCCCTGAGCACTACTCTACCAAAGCCCTTGGAACCAATCCTGCGCTCTGCTTCATCAGGAGACTATCGCTCTCCGTCTTCCCCCAAACACACAAACCTGCTACACCAGCTGCTTTTCCCAGCCCTGCCTCCAGCCACACTGGGCAGGGCCAAGAGCCTGGAACAGCCCCAGAGCAGGGCAAGCCAGGAAAACAAGAGGGCGCAGCCGTTTCTCCTTCTGTCTGTTTATTTTTTTGATAGAAGAGCAGCCCAGCCTGAGTGGGCCTGGCTCCTTCACCTCATCCTCGAGGCCACTGCCATGGCTTTGGTTACAGGCAGAACAGGTGACAGGCGCCAGGTGAGCGGCTGCACTGCCCTGCTGTGGGGCAGGGCACCCCCAGCCTGGCCTTGGGGGCCCACAGAGCCAAGGGGTGCTCTCTGTCACACAGCACAGTGGGACATGGCCCAACCATCTTCCTTTGTGCTGACACGGGCCAGAGCGGGGCTGGTCCCAAGCAGGATAACCCAGGAGCTGTTTCTAGGGACAATTATTGCTCAAGTCTTGCATTTACAGGAGTGGAGGTGGTCCAAGTCAAGGCTGAGCCTCCCCGCTCTAGAAGAAGCCACCAGCTGCCATTCAGGATCAGGTAAATGTGGCTAAAGCTTGAGCACCCAGCCCAGGCACAGACAAGCAAGGCAACTGGGCCTTCTCATGGGGTAGAGGCACCTCCGGCTGTCACAACCCCTGCCACATACCAGGCACAGGGTTTGTGTATTGCACTGGGCAGCTCTGGGCCTCAGGTGCCACCCTCGCTGCCCCTACATTCTCCACAGCCATGCCTGAGCACCAGCACCAGGGCACAACTCTCCATCCGGGCACACGGGGACCAGAGGGGGAAGGCACATGCAGCACCGTGGCACTGACAAGGTGGCACAAGGCATGGCAGAGCAGGAATATTCACCCTTGTGCTGGCAGCAGCAAGCAACCGGGGACAAGTCTGCTCATCCATACCGGTTCTGATGAGGGAAGAGGAAAGGGCACCAGGACAGGGACCGGTCTCTTCTTTTGGTCCTACTCAGAAGGAAGTGAGCCCCAGGCAGAAGGGCCAGATTCAGGCACTTGGGGGAAGTTCCTTTGGAAACACTGGAATGGGGCTGCAGCCCCAGAGCTGTGATGCAGGCAGCTGCCTCTCTGCTCAACAACACTGAAAAGCAGCATGAGCCCTCCCAGCAGCGGGAGAAGCTGCCCGTGGCTGCTCAGAGCAGAGGGGCTGGGCATGCAGACAGAGGACAGCAGGGCCGGGCACAGGGGTACAACAGTCTGTAGGCACTTGATTTGGCTAGTGGCACCCAGGAGCAGGGGAACAGGTCCCAGCTGCCTCTGCCCCGGGGCTCTCATTGGCTCTGGGAGGGCCTTGCCCTCTAGTTGGCTTTGACCTTGCCGTTGGTGACTGTGCCATTCTCATGGATGCTGCTACCGTTGTGCTGGGCTGCTTGTTGAGCCGTTCTGGGCAACCGTTTGCCCTTGGTGTAGGACTGGTACCAGAAGTTGGAGAACAGGATGAAGAAGATGGTCCCATAAATCCAGATGAGGTGGATGAAGATGGGAAATTGGTACTGGCAGCTAGGCATGAAGTAATACTGGGAGATGTGGACAGAGACGATCACAAACTGTGCCTAGGAGCCGGACAAACAGGGACCCAAGTTACACATTGGAGCAATGTCAGGGATCACACTACAGCCAGCCTTTCCAAAAGGAAGGAGTATGTTCCTTTCCCACCCCAAAACACAAGTCTATGGTGCCTCTACAGTGAGGGACAGCCAGCAACTACATCAGAAAGGAACGACCACTGGAGATACAACAATACTTGAACAACACGAGCATCCACGCTCCCAGCGTGGGCACAGCTCAGGTGCAGCAGCCTGAGCAGCAGTGGTGCCCCAGCCAGGCTGGGGAGAGAATAGAGGCCCCCAGAGCACCCGGAGCAGCTGGAAGGCCAGGGAGAGAGGCTGCGGAAGACAAGCACAGCCTGTGGCTGCACCTTCCCTAGGAGCAAGGGCTGGCCTGCCCCCTGCAGCAGAGGCTCTGCTCACAGTACAGACTCACCAGCTGGATGGCCGTGATGTGCTTCTTCCACCACAAGTACTTCTGGAAGGCAGGTCCTGCTGCTGACAGCCCATAGTAGAAGTACATGACGACGTGCACCATGGAATTGATCATAGCATGGAATGAGCCCATTCCCCCTGTGAGGCAGATGTTTACCAGTGTCAGTCATCTGCAACAGCCACTCAAGGAGCCAAACATCCCTCCTCCCAGAGCGGTGCCCGAGTGTGGTGCTGGACTGGAGGGTGCCTCCTTAAGGGGCAACTTCTGCTCTAGCACCCAGGTGCACCCATCAAGGACAGAGAAGCCTTCCTGAGGGCAGGGCCTAACACCACCCCTTCCCTAGCTGTGCACCTAGCCACATCCAGCCTTACCTGGACCAAACTTCGCTCCCCACCACCAGCTCCAAGGCAGAACAGAATGGTGGAAGAGGTGCAGGAATGTGACCTGTTCATTCTTCTTCCGCAGGACAAAGATCACCTGCAATGAGAGCTCAATAGCATCAGAATCAGCAGCCTTGGGAACAGCAGAAACAGCCTTGGATATGACTCCCAGTATCCAATCTCAGTGATGCTTCATTTCAAGCTTGCTATCAGCATGTGTTATTGATCCCTCAGGTTCCAGAGCTACACTGTCCCAGAGTAGCACCTGCAGTAGCCTAGAGTGGCCTTCCCAGCAGTGATGCTCAACAAAAGCTCTGCTGGGTCACACAAGCAAAGACTGAAGGAAGCACCTCCCTCGGACACGCTCAGTCTTAACTCTTTGCCCAGGAGTGTCCCCCTGGCCTCCCCTGCTCAAACACAGGGCTTGTCCAGTGTGTCACTCACCGTGTCTGTCAGTTCGATGAACTTTGAGAAGACAAAGAGCCAGGCGACACTGACCATCTGTAAGAGAACCAGTCCATCAGAGACTCAACTGAGCGCCAACATGCCCAGGGATTGAGTGCCTGGGTCAGTTTAGGAGCCACAGGCAGGAAGTCACCTGCTCTGGGGCAGACCAGCAGCTACAACCTCACTGCCCAAACAGGCACTAACGGCCCTCCCTGCTTATAGGGAGAGGGAAGGAAACTCACCCTTAGAGCCTTGGGGTCCTGCGAGAAGTCCACAGGGTCACATCTCCAGGTGTAGCCAGTCAGCCACCCAGCCATCAGGAACTGCAACAAGAGCACGACCCGGGTGAGGCCCAGCACATCACCCAGGCCTCCCAGCCCTCCTCAGGAAGGGCAAAAAGCTGCGCACCGAAGGGCCTCCCATCACACATGCAGCCTGCAAGGTAAAGACTGCTTTAAATATGCCAAATAACACTCACCTCATAAACTATGTAGAGTGAAAGTCCCACCAGAAAGAAGTTGTATAGCACCATAAACTTCTTCAGGTTTAAAGGCTTCCTGTTGGCCATTAGCCGAGGGCCCAAGGATAGTACGAAGTAGACATATGTCAGAAGGATGCCCATCACAAGGAAGGGAGACTGCATCAGTGGGTAGTCAGCAATGCGGGGGTCTGCGGAGAGAGCCATGGTGCAGAGCAGTAAGCAACCCTGCTGAGCAGCGCTGCTACCAGAGAGGAGACAAGGACCACCTCGCAGGTCCTGCTCTTCTAGGACAGAAGCTCAGGCAGATACAGCTCGGGGCTGAAGCAGCAAACAAAATGAAGGTGTAGCTTGAACCCAGAGCTGCAGCCGGGTCAGGGCAAAGACGGGGGGCAGCCAGAGCAGGCCCACACGCAGACAGACCCCTCCACTGTGCTGGGGCAGTAAGCACAGAGTAGCCCAGCACCCACCTGCTTTCTTCATGAAGTCCTGGTACATGGTCACGATCCCCTCCATGGCGGTGGTGGTGACTCTGCAGAGAGACAGAGGAAAGGATCAGGCAGCTGCAGTCGGGCAGTTTCTAGCACAGCTTCAGTCATGAGCATCAAGTCAGCACCTCTCTCAGCAGAGCCCACATCAGCATCTGCTCTCCAAGAGAGCCCTGTGCTCCCCACAGCTCTTCACCCACCCTCACCACAGCTTCACTTGGCTCCACATCTCCTGAGATGGAAGAAGCTGCTTGGGAAACCTACCTTCTTGCACCAGTCCTTCCCCAAGAAGGGGGGAAGGGAAACTACCTAGGTAGGGCTCCACCCTTAGGGTCATATCTCCAGCCCTTTCTTAGTCTCACTCCTACCACACATGCCAGGTGTTGCTCGCCCACAACAGCAATGCTGGGTGCCCTTGCCATGCAGTGAGCATCCCTATGCCAGCCAGCGAGGACCTGCAGGGCCTGCATCTGCTGACGTTTCCAGATGGGATCTTACTAGGAGTAAGAACGTACCTGTTGGATCACTGGCCTGACAAGGACTAACTCCCACAACCCAGCATCCCAGGGGCAGGTGCAGGCTGCTTGGCAAAGGCACCTGCACTCCCCTTGCAGAGGACAGCACTGCCCCTGGATTAGCAGGGAGAGCTACAGGAGAAGGATGTGACTGCAGGGAGAAGGCCTGGCCCCCCAGCACATGCCCAGCTGCACTGCCAGCACACACCACACTCTCCACACCACACTGCCCACACGGACGCTCTCCAGAGGAGTGTGCCCAGGCTCCTGCTGCTGCCAGACTGGGAAAGCTCTCCTAACCCCTGTGACCCCAGAACCTGCCCCTGCAGAGGCCCGTGGCGTGGGGGCAGAGAACATGCCCCAGCTGGAACACGCATGGGCCCAGCCTCCCTGACTCATCCCCTGCAGAAGGTGTTCCCTGCGATTGCCACCAAACGGCCATTCCACCTACCTCCAAATGCCTCCTTCCCCTCTCTCCCAGAGGTTTCCTGCTGCCACCCCCAAGGAAGCAGACAGCTCCTCAAGGCCAGCAGAGTGACCTACAGGCCCCTTCTTACTCTTAGCAAGGTCCTAGTTGGGAATATCCCACAGGTGCAACCACCCCAGGTCCCTCCATCTCTCCTTCAACTTTGCAGCAAAGTGAGGAACTGAGTCCGCTCTTTGCTCTACCTGAGAGGCAGGCAGGGAGGGCAGGCAGGACTGCAGCAGACACTGCAAGACCTGAGCGTGGTGCGACAAAGCCAGGAAATGCTTCAGTGACATTGCCCAGGGGGCTGCCATGGGCTTGGCACACGTTACCCCACTGCAAGGGGCCCGGCAATCAACTCTAGTGGGGGCCCAGGATGTTCCTCTGAAGTGGGGAATGCCACACAGCCGCTCTGCAACAGCAGTGGGAGGGTAGGTCACATCCTCCTTCACTGCTATCCCCTCACAAAATACCCTTTTGCCTCCCAAGCAAGGGTCCAGAGAAGGCCTGAGCAGCCACACAGCCTGACTGTGTTGCTGTTTTCCAGAAATCACCAAATGAGGTTCCTCATACACCCATGGAAAAGGCTGCAGCAACAGGGCACTGGGGAGCAAGTCCCATCTCAGACCACGAGGCCACACACAGCAGAACAGACACCCTGCTGCCCTCACCAGCCTGGGGTTGGATGGTTTAATAGCAAGTAATGCTCACCTGCAGGATCACCCAAATACTAGAGGGTTTAAGGTCCTGGGCACCACTAAATTATCTGTTCTCCATGTGTAACAAAGGCCAGAAGAGCGTAGCGGGAGTTGCCACATCCTTGAAAGCCACTCTAAAGGCTCTGGGAAACGCTGTAAATAAACTCCTGAAAGCTGCTGAGCTCCAAGCAAGCTCCAAACTTGTCCGTCTAGTTTAGGTTTTAAACCACTATATCCAGCTACGCCTTTACTTATTACCTTGAGGACTCCTCGAGAGTCGGTTCTCAGGATAAGTACCTGACTGTTCAAGCTCTGTGTTTATCTTATCGAGTTGAGTGAGTCAGAGTTACTACAGGCCCAAGACGGAGACAAAACTACCGGGAAGCACCTATGTAGGGCAGCTTGGGAAGGGAATTCAGCGCCGGCGTCGCTCACAGGCTCACAGCTACATCCCACACTGCAGGATGCAGGAGATGTTGAGCCCAGGCACTGCGAATTACTCTGCTGACCACAGCTCTAGCAGCACTGATCAACCAGGACGGCAGCTCAGAACAGCTTGGGGTCGGTCCCAGCACACAGGACGTGGATCCAGTCTGCCCCGAGCCTGTGGAGGTTGCACAGAGCGCATGTGCAGGACACAAGGCCACCCAGGCAGCAGCAAGGAGCACAACTGCTCCCCAGGCAGCTACAGAAGCCAACTCCACCCGCTCAGCACTGGCACAGAAGTCCCCACTGGCACAAATGGCAGCAAGTTTCTCTTATTGCATAGACACATTCAGCACTCCCTCAGTCCTTAATGCCATGACCTGGGAGGAGGCACTGCAGTTGTATTTTAAAGGACATGCTCTGGGCAGGACTTCCTACTGCAACACCAGGAGAGGACTAGCAGGACTGCACCTGCAGATCCTTTCAGAATGGACCAGGGAGTTTTGCACAGCTTCCCTAAGCTGAACATCTTGCTGCACCCAGCTAACAGAACCACTAAACCTCCAGGGCCTCCCTGAGATCACCCTGGACCTTTGCAACACACAAAATCCACGCTGACATGGTCCTGTAGGACAGTTAATGCAGCAGGATGGGGAATGCTGTATGCAGCAAATAGATGCACATGGACCTGCCTTACCCTTCACCTTCTCCAGGGATGCAGCCACCGGCCTTCTGGCACAGGCAGTGGAACTGCAGAGAGCCCAGGAGCAGAGCCAGGTGTGACCCTCCTTCACCAGCCAGCCACAGCCCAACAGCTCCATGCCCAGTGTTTCTGCTGCGGGTACGGATTTTGTGCCACCAGCGTTGGCAGCAGGGTTTCAGTTTATATGACCACGGGACCCTGTTTGAAGACCAACAACTGACAGAGAGAGCCAGGAGACACCTCAATAAACAGGGCATATGTGTCTTTGCCAACAGTTTGTCCAGCCTGGTTAGGAGGGCTTTAAACTAGGCAAGATGGGAGAAGGGGAGAGTTACAGCGACTGGGCAGTCAGTGAGGATGTGATTATGGAGAGTTTCTTACACCTGCCCTGGGGAACCTGCAGGCTCATTTACCTCCTTGAAATGACTTTACATCAGTGCACACAGCATGGGGAATAAACAGGAGGGAGACTCGTGTGTGGTCACAGGGCCATGATCCCATTGCAATTAGAGAGACACTATGTACTTTTTAGGAAGGACAGGCCAGGAAGGGGAACCTGCTCTTTATGAGCAAGAACAACTGGAATGTACAGAGCTCTGCCTAGGGGTGGATGAAGAGAGAGTTGAAGACTTGGGCGTGAAAATTAAAGGGCAGGCTAATATGTGAGACATGTTGTGGGTGTTTAGCCCAGGCCAGCTGTTCAGGATGGGGATGCCAAGGAGGCCTTCTATAGCCAGATGGAAGTGCCCTTGGAGGGCACTGACAGGCCCTTGGTTCTCATGGGGGTCTCCAACCACACCAGAACTTCCTGCAGAACATGGACTATAACTTTTTGACACAGGTGATAGAGGAGCCAATGAGGATGGGCATGCTGCTGGGTCTGGTGCTAACAAATAGACAGACTTGTTGGAGATGTGAAGGTTAGGGGGTAGCCTTAGCTGTGTGATTATGAGATGGAGCTCAGGATTCAGCAAGGAAGATGCAGGACTATAAGGAGGATCACAACCATGGACTTCAGGAGAGCTTAGGTAAACTTGACACCAACAGATCCATGAGCCCTGATGGGATGCACCCAAGAGGGCTGCAGAGCTGGTGGATGTTATTGCCTCTCCCTCATCTTTGAGATGTTTTGGAGAACAGGAGAGATATCTGAGGACTGGAAGAAAGGCCCTGTCACACCAGTCTGCAAAATGGGCAAGAGTGAGGATCCAGGCAACTACAGGCCAGCTGATTTCACCTCCATCCCTGGAAAAGTGGTAGAGTAGCTCATCCCCAATGTTGTCTCTAAGAATGTGGTAGATCAGGAATGGTCAGCATGAGTTCTCCCAGGGGGAGTTCTGCTTCACCAATCCAATAACCTTCAATGACAGAGTGACTGGCTGAGTTCCCTTCCCACAGAAGGGAATGTTGAGCAGTGGATGCTGCACTGACTTCAGCAAGGCTTTCACTGTCTCATAACACCCTCACAGACAAGCTCAGGAAGGGTGGGTTATATGGGTGGACAGGGAGAATGATTGAAAAATGGCTGAATGGCAGAGTTCAAAGGGTTGTGATCAGTGGCACAGTATATTTGGAGGCCAGTAGCTAGTGGTATCCCACAGGAATCAGGATTGAGCCCAATGCCATTCAATTTATTCATCAGTGACCTGGATGGAGAGACAGAGTACTCCCTCCACAAGTTTAAGGAGGATACAAAACTGGAGGAACAGCTGATGCAGTGAAGGGCTGTGCTGCCCTTCAGAGGGAGCTCAACAGGCTGGAGAAGTGGGAACCTCACAAAGTTCAACAAAGGCAAATGCAGAGTCTTGCACCTAGGGCTCAGGCACCAGTACAGGCTGGGGCTTGACCTTCTTGAGAAGAGCTGTGCAGAGAAGGACCTGGCGATCCTGGTGGACAAGAGGCTGGACACAAACCAGCAATCTGCCCTTGAGGCCAGTAAGACCAGTGGTAGCCTGGGGTGCATTAGGAGTGTTGCCAGCAGGTTGAGGGAAATGATTCTCCCTCTCTACTCAGCCCTGGTGAGGCCACATCTGGAGTGCTGTGTCATAGAATTTCTGGAGAGAGTCTAATGTGGAGCTACAATTAGAAGACTGGAACTCCTCTCCTGTGAGGAGATGCTGAGAACTGGACCTGTTAAACCTACAGAGGAGGCAGAAGGCAATTTTAAACAGTGTGTATAAATATTCCAGGGGAGAGTAACAAGAGGATGGGACAAACTTTTCAGTGGTGGCCAGACAAAAGACAAGGGCCGCA